TGACTTGCCAGCTTTACGGTGGATGGTGAAGGTGATCACTTCAAGGTCCCTTCCAGTCCTACTTTCCTATGATCCTAGAAAAAGACCATAAAAAAGTTTGTTAGACAAGCTGGTCTGTTGTATTAGCAACACATCTTTTTTCATCTCTGGTTGTGTGCAGTTGTCTCCTGTAAATACAACTTTGTCTTGTGTCAACTGATAAGACGGAGATGATGGCTAAACCTCTGCTCATCATGAGATGACAGGTCTGCTGGGGGTCTATTCGTCGTGTATGAAGATGGAGCTTTGCATTCGCAGTTCTCCCGTTTCTGCAGGCTGCATCTCCATATTGAAAAGTTGGGGGCTGCAGGCCAGACAGAAGAATTCTGTAGCTTGCACGTTTAGTGGTCCCTGTAAATTGCCATTTCTTCCATCTGCGTTTTAGCTTGAGCTTTTTCAGATACTGTGTGAAAGGTTCATGGATTCATGTTTATATGGCGTTTGGACAGTACAGTGCTCAGTGAAAACTAGGTTTGATTTTTTTTAATTCTTTTTCGAGTGTGTAGGAGGCACGCAGCTCCCAAAAATGCCTACAGAATTCCACTCTGGTTCCTTGCCAACAGAATTATGCTATCAGATGGATGGCGGCTACGTGGCTGTGCAAGCTGCTGTTATTCGTTCATTTACCAGTAGACAAAGGTGCTTTATTTCACGCTCATGTTCAGACCATAATGATACTATCCTGATGCCCAAACTCTATGCAAGAGACACTTTTACTTGGAAGCTACTTCTCGTTTGGTATTAACAGGTTGCATCCAGGATTGGCTTCCAGCTTTGTGTGCTGAACTATCTGGGTGGGAGAGGGAAGTTTTATGTCTTGCTCAAACAGTCTGGCTTTGGACGTGGCCCTGGGGTGACAATGGTGGGCTGTGGTGGCAAATATGAGTGCCAGCCTTGATCACACCTCAAAGCGTGGGTGGGATGCAGTTATCCCCAGGATAACTGGTCCTGTGAGAGCCCAACAAAGATGATCGCTTCAAGAGTACCATAGAGTAGTATGTAGAAGCAAGGATTGTCCAAATATCCTGTCTTAAATTTACAATGATCTGCATTCTGGTGTGGCCAACAATTCAGTCTCCTGGGCCGCCTCCAGATGAGCACAGATGTGCAGTAGGTGGCACAGCAGACCTGCCTGCAGTGCCACGCACTGCACATTCACGAGTTCCCTGCGCTGCTATCTTGTCGGGGGGGGGGGGGGGGGG